TTCGCGCGCTTGTACCGTGTTAAGTAAAGTGGGCTTGGATAGGACAGCAATTAACAGTAGGAAATAAAAATTCCTGTCGTGATTCAATCAAGATATAGAGGACCAAACACAAGAGAGTTTCCTTTTCTCGGTGACACACAAAGTAGCAAATCAGTGAATGTTCCTAGAATTCGATGTCAGTTCAACAAATTGCTTACCTCCCCCAAAATTCGCGTTTGGTTTCGACATGTCAGATGTGGTCTAAAACTGTGCAAGTCCTAAGAAGTTTCCTCTGGATCAAGGAAGGAAGTTATCTTGCTCGAGTGTTAACCCAACTGTATTGAAAAAGAACATAACTACATAAGAATCTTGATTGCTAGGGTCCGTTTGCTTGTGCACTCTGTCCAAGTAGGTGCTGGATTGTGATTGGTTAAAATTTTGATACTCCCTTCTGATTGGCAGAGCTTTTTGGTCGAAGTTGGAAATAGCCGGAAGTTGAGATCTAACTTGGACACTATTAGCATTGGTTTCATCCAACTTGGACATTATTCATCTTGGGTAATTAATTATTAAGAGTAAAGAACACACTTGTGTTTTTTTTTTGCGTGACTCTTGTTTCCCCAAGCGCCGCTGCGATCCGATCAAAACACGCTTTCTTCTCGAGCTGTCTAAATTCTAACTGAGTTTTCGGCAAATAAAATAATTCTACTTTTTTTAACACCTGTGAGCTTGACTAATTAATCTTTTTTTTTTTCTGGCGACACAAGGTAAGACAAATTTTTAGATACAGAAGTAACAATCGATCTTGTAGTCTTATCGATCTGATCTTCGGGAGGGGTTTGGTCGATAACCCTTCAATCCCCCAGATCTGATTTTCAATTCTCCCCTCTAGCTGCTTCGCGTCTCTTTGTAAATTAGTTACGAGAATTTGGAGTTAGATCAAGGTAACAAATTCCTGATAAGTTTGAATATTCTCATTACTGTTTGCTGGATAATGTGTGGGCATCAGAGAGAATTTACATGTTTCAGATATCACTTTTTGCCGAATTTTTTTTTCTTTTTAATTCGGCTGCTACCATTCCAGACTTAATCAAATTTCACCGTGCTGAAGAAAAATTGTGATCATCGTGACTGGGATGACGTGACAGCACTTAAACCATCGATGAAACCCTATTACCTCTCATGTAATTATGCGTTTTCGATTAGTGTAATTCACAGAAGAAAGCCCGGAAATGCACACGGAACAGTCTGTATGTGACACTCTTTTCGTTTTCGCTCCGTTTTCACTTGTCTACACAAGAAAAAGAAGCGTTTAAAAACGAAGCGTTCACAAAAGACCGCGTTTTCTCCTGGCAGTGTTTTCGGGCGTTTTAGTGTGGATGATAGGCAAACACAGTGATACAAACAAACGACCAAATCTGACACGAGGATTTCCTTTAATTTTTTAATAATGCTGAAAAACAGAGATAAGAACAATTTGGTATGATTTGCGACGACATTTCGATCATATTTGAGGCGTTACTATATGAAATTCACCAAAATGGACTAGGAACTACACTAAGACAAAAATCAAAAGTTAGAAATTGAAAGGAAAGTAAAATACAAATGATAGTAAACTGTTGTACCTAAAGAGTAGATCCTCGTGCAGAAAATAGAGTTAAACCTTATGTGTAAGCTACCCGCGTGGCGATTCGAAAAAGAAAAAAGCTGTGACTCTGAAATGCGAGCGCGTTTGATCTGAAGTCTTGTTAAATCATTAAATAATTTGTAGAAAAATAAAGATCAATTAACAAGAAGTCATCCAAAACAAAGGTATCAAAAAGTATCTCGCTGTTTTCGAACGAAAACATTTGTTCAGGGCCATAGTCTTCAAGCTCTCGTTTAGCTCTTTGAACTGCGGGAAAAATATCGATTCAGTTTCATGCTTTTGGTTTCATCGATCATTGCATCAAAACATAAAATACCACATGTTCCTTTCTCCAAAAATTTAAACTTAACTGTCCGTACCTCCGTTATAATTCTACATAGCCTATGATTTGATTCATTCATATAAAAATATCCGCGAAAGCGTGAGGTTAAACATAGTTTATTCGAATTTATAAAATTCCGCCCAGTTCCTTCTATCTCTACTCTACCACGAGTACGTAGAGTATTTCACCCTTCCTCGCCCAGAAATGATAAACAGTCAACTTCCCCTTACAACATCAGCACATTATTAAGCAAACTGGTAATGAGAAAAGAAGACCTTATCAGCCTTAGAGTGTCGTATATAACACCAGATTCTCCCAACTATTTCAGTTCGGAAGAAATTTTCGTCCATGTAAATTATAAAGAGTAGCTTAAGTTATACATTGGATGTCGGGTAATTTTCCTTTTACAATTTCTGAAATAAATATTTCTCAAAAATGCGATTTGGGGAAATAATCATAACTTGAAATGAGAGAAAAATTTTCTGCGTTTACACACAATGTTACAACCCCAGGATGCCAGGGTGAGGTTTCTCGAGGCTTTTATTGCAATTATAACGGAAGAGTTTAAGACGTCGCTACGGCGACTTGTGGTAAAAGGTTGTAGAGAAAACGTCATTTATTTTATTTTAAGATTTTTGCCAATAGCTCGGACGGTACAACGTCTTCACTTCGGCACAACATGTGAATGTAGAGTCGAGTTCTAAGTAAAAACGTGACCAAATCGCTGTTGAGGTCTCATTGCCAAGAGGACGTAAAATTTGGTGTTTTAACGTTTTTGTTTTGCATGGGACGGCTAGGAAATGTACAGTTTTAACACACTCGTGTTTCGTTATTGTTTTGCTTATTTGATCTTTTCGTAATTTTTAGAAATAAAGGGAACTGAAGTCTGTAAATTTCTCAGTCATCTCATCTGCTTTCGCAATTTCGCACTGGAATGCCTCGAGAGCACTCTTTGAGTAGGGATTGGGACGCGCACGATGCCTGGGAGAGCTGATGGCAGCCAAATCCGTTGAAAATCACATCTCAGCTGATCCAAAAGCATGGCTCGAGATTAATGAACGTAACTGTGCTTTTTTTTTTACCTTTCGTATTATGTGCGAAAAGTCCTTCTTTGGGTTCTGAAGGCAAATGGAGACACTTTGTTCCGATGTTCCGTTAAGGTCGACAACAAACTCTCATCGATGATGGAGCGTTTGATTTGGATAGTTTTGTCGACATGAGCCTCCGTGGCTTTGGCATTTTACCCAGTCAGAAATGTGATGATTGATCTCTGAGTGAATCAATACGGATACCACTACATAATGAAGGTGAAGCAGATCTGCGAAGTGCAGAAACTCCAGAAACTGATCATTGCTCCAGTGGCCGGTCTACTCACCGAGCCTGAAATCATCATTGTTCCCAAACGTAGCTTTTACCGAGTCCCATTTGCAGCCTTACGTGACCAGCCAGGCGGAAAATCTTTACCAGAGACTTTCAGGACCCGCATCGTTCCTTCTCTGACGACTCTGAAGCTCATTCAAGGCTGCCCAGAGGATTATCACAGTCAGACTGGTGCGCTAAAGTTGTGGGTGATCCTAAGGTGGGCAAGGTGCGTTACAAGGGAGGAAACCTCGACCGTTACAGATTTACCCAGTGCAAGAAAGGAAGCAGTTCGCTTGGTACTAAATAGAGTCTAACGGATTCATTGAGGTTAATATTAGTTAACCCTTAAACCCGTAAGAGTGACTGGCATCTAATTTCTCCTTACCATATCACCTCTGAATTGAACCTGAAGGTCAGGAGAATAAAGGAGCTGATCACCCACCAAACTAGATCTTGATTGTAAGACAAATTCTCCGTGTTGGCATCTTAGGAAATGTTTAGAGAACAGTATGGAGAATATGCATACTGATTTTAGGATGTAAAGGGTTAAGGTGTAAGGTCCTCTTTTCGTACATTTGTCGGTTTTACCGAGTGATAGAAGAGAGGAAAACATTGTAAGACTTCAACCCGTTGCTTGTAAATCAGACGACCCATGATAGTAGTTAAATAAGACTCGGAAGAATTTTTGGGTGTAAGTTTTAACCGGAGTCAAGAATTTTAAGCTAATCAACAGTTAATAACTTTTCCCTTTTCTTTGTGCCATTTGTTGAAGCAAGCCCTTTCAGCAAGTAATGGTTACATTTGAAATTTGAATGATTGGTTTTTCTAAAAAAAAACCACGGAACTCATACATTGATTTGTATTGATTTTGTTCCCTACCTAATTAGTGTTACAGATTGGTAAAAGAGAAGGACTATACTTTTAGACTTTCTTCGGTTAGATGCGAAATAGTTCACCCTCAGCATAGGTTAAAAAAAGGGAAACTTTTTAGGTACAAGTTTCAACCAGGGTTAGAAATGCATAAAAGAAGAGGAACGATTCATAATAAGAGTAATTTTCAGGGTTCCTTTGAGTTGGCTTTATTTCGGTCTGTGATAGAGAAAATTCGTGTTCTAAACCAATCAGACGCAAAACGGAAACCAATTATGAGTGAGTTACTGACGTTTTCTCGTCCGCGCTTGCCTGTTTTTACCTGGAGTCCTCATAGGCTAATGATAACACCAACCTTTATTGTGATTAAATGATGTGATCACTTCCGTTTGGGTTTCGCGACAGTTTATCGAATACTGCTCTGTTTACAATTTATTCTTTGGGTAAACCGAGTCATTGGATCAACTTAATCATTTATTGTGAATGATTGTCATCTATATTAAAATGTTTGAATTTAATTATCAAATTATCTGATGAGATTCTTGTGAGAATTGTATCTTCTTTTCTTCCCCATAAAATAATGGAGGATTTTCCCCCCAGCCCCTATAACTTTCAACCTGTAAGAACCTCTCTAAGCTTGGTAGTAAATCACTTTCCTTAAGAATAGTTATACGCAAAACTTTTAGACATTACGACTACAGGGACACCAAATGGAAACTAAACAATAATCGGTTGAAAATGTTAACTCTCTTGCCATTGGCTGGGCGTAAGGGCGTAGTGGTACAAGACATACGAAGGGAACGAAAGTAACCAATGACATAATTTTGGTATATTTTATTTATTATTGCAAATTTCTTCATTCCAAGAAAGAATCTAAAAACGTTTTCACCTTCTGAGGTGCTCATATGTACAAATGTTCTCGCTTTTATTAATTTCTCCATTTCTTTCCCAAACTATTTCAAGAGGAGAAGAAAATTTTTTTCGAGACATTTCTTTGTCTTATTCTATTAATTGCTGGACACAGTTTTTGGTTTTGAAAAAAGCATATGTATAACTGCATAGTCTTTAAGTAAAATTCTGACTTAAGTACACAGATGCAAACATCTATCTATTTGTCTCTTCAAGGCTTTGAAAACTTTTGAGCCCAGAAATAAAAGCAAAAAGAAGTTTTTCTCAGGCTGCAATCCATTAGCTGCAGATAAATCTGGCTCTTTGGAATTAACAGTCTCAATGTCATGTCAAACTTGACTTTTGAAATGTGTGTATTTCTGAAAAAGTAAAAAAAGGAATAATTTAAATCTCCAAATTCCGGTCAGGATAGTATGCTTAATCATCTTGCCTACCGACAGAAAATCGTTGAAAACAAGAATTAGGTAAACCTGGTTCATAAAACCATAAAACTATAACAGCATATTGACAAAGATGTTGAACATTTTGTTCCAAGCGTGGGAACAAAATCTCTGTACCCCACGAAACTTTAAGCCCCGCCCTTCTGATTTGAAGTGAGATGCTCCAATAGCAGAGCTGCAGAATCCTCGTTGGTGTGATAGACCATAACTAGTTTCATATGTGATAAGCGTCCTGTCTCTTACTAGGCCGATTACGAAAGAAAAAGAAAAACAGATTGCCTGATTTCAACAACAGTTTCTATGGCTATAGAATCTTTTGCTGGATACTTAGTAGAATCTGGTGTACTCAAGATATTGTTCCCCTTTACCATGTTCACATACTGTAAGGCGAGACACCGCAACTTCTACTGAGTAACTAAGAAATTACAGGTCACTCTGGTCGGTCACTTTCACGACCACAATAAGACTTGTATTTGATGCAAGGTGCTGGAAAACAACTGGTGACCAACGATCAACTAGTCTTTGACCACAAAATCTTGAGAGTCTCCTAATGAACTTACCATACCTCTTTCATAACTTATGTTTTCTGTTTTCCTTTTATGTTCAGTGGTTCTTTCATCAACTGCTGGTTTGCTCTCTTGCTTGTCCAAATGCGTCCATCAAGTGGATCGTTTTTCCTATGTATCCAACTGACATCTGCAATGGAATAAAATTTTCATAAGATGTTTACAATACAACTCAGTCTACATTCAGAAATGTGGTTGTAAACGAGCCTCACTCAATTTTGTCAGTTAGGTATTATGCATGATACGATCACAAGGATTAGTTTATGCATGTGATTGATAGCAAATCGCTCATCAAGAAGTCGAAAACAAGATAACAGAAATTGGAACATGAATGTTCTACAGTAATTTGCTCTGTTTTGGATGTCTTAATCCATAATTTGTCATCCAGCGTTTCATCTTATCATACAAAGGACCCATTAGCACAATGTAGTGAACCCAATTTGCACTGTTCCATCAATACAGGGTGATCTTAACTTATTTCACAAACATTCGCGGGTTTTCTACAAAAGCCTATGAAAATAAAAGCATAAGGCTGTAAAACGCCATAAGTAAAAAAATCTTAGACCCTCTTTCATTTGGCCTGTCTCGTCAGTTTAACTTCCAAAGGTGATTAACATATCAACTCTCCCTACGGTAACAATGGGTTTTACTACAAATGGTGTTGAGATTAGAAGAACATATCAGTAACAGCATTGTTACTCTGATACATCTGACAATTCTCTAAAAGTATTTACAAAGAAATGTGTAACAGTTAAAAGGAAGAACTTAAAATCAAATCTTAAGGGAAGTGTCTGGCAGCCCGGTCAACGAAAGTAGCTGTACATCTACAACCTAAAAGTTTAAGGCACGTACATGTAACCTCGCTACTTTCTATAACAGGTGAATGCATCAAAAAGCACGTTCGTGGTTATTCAAAGTAAATTTCTGATTTCATTGACTTCTTTTGGAATAAAATTATCTTACCATTTGACGAGTTGGTGGATGCTGGGGGTTTTGAGGTAGGTAGAATAAAAAACGTAGCTGAAGAGGGCTTGAAACCTGTAAATTTTGGAGACATATTGGCGACTGTATACCATACATAAGTCGTGAAAAACACGAGAAAAAAGATCAGCGCAAATTGAATTGTGACTAGCAGAGGAAACACTCTGTTAAACTGGTGGAGAGTAGCTTGTCGTTCTCCGCCGGCATTCTCAGTCTTTAAAGCGGTAAATGTCACACCAATCTGCGAGCGTTTCACTCTTTTGGTGTTGATGTAAATGGCTAGTCTTTCTCTGGCGGCATTCTCAGTCTTACAAGCAAGTGTCCACTCTTTACAGCCATTTCCCTTGCAAGCTGGTTGTTGCGAACCATCGATTCCGCATTGCTCAGACGGATGAAATGTTTCAAATCGATCACACCAGAGCTGGCGAGGACGCAGAAATGAGAAATTTTTCAAACGTTGGAGAACTCGAATCATGACGCATCGACATACGAAATCCGCTGATAGCTCTTTGTATAAATTAACTTGTTTTACGAGAAATTCGGGGGAATTTGTGGAACATTCAAGATCATGTTCTGCATAACGTATGTTTTCGTCTTGTTCCATAACCCTTTTTGGCCTGCCTCTCGCTTCATCTGCAACAAAGCAACCGGAGCATTTGTGGCCTCGCCGAAAGTCATGGCAGCTCAGATTGAAGACATTTGGTCCAAAATGTTCGAGAAAGCTTGGCCCACTGCTTACATCTCCATCTATGTCTGGTTTGCGGTAGTGGCACGCTTGTTGTAGTTTCTTCTTCAACACTTGCATGTGTTTTTGCGAACAGATGGGTATGTTTGATGATATCAGTTCAAGATTGTATTCATCTCTTTTTACACCTCTTCTCTGTCTGCATGCGACGAAACAAGGCGGGAGCAAATAAATAAAGTCATGAGGAACACATTCATAGCTGTCGTTCGAGGTGCTTGTAATAGTGTCTGACGGTATCGTTGTATGGAAAGAGGGCGATAAACTTGAGGCATTAATGGTACTTCGATGCTTGTTTCCATTAAACTCGTTGCTTCCATTCTTCGGTGTACCAACTTGGAGGGAACCTTGTCTGATTTGCAGTGGTGTTTGTTTAGAAATATAATTCATGTTAACATCGCGTTGAACTCTCGTCAAAGATCCCAAAGAGCGACTTTTACCGCGTTTTGAAGAGAGATCAAGAAATTCCACGATCTCACGATGGCCACTTTCAACAGCGCAATCCAAAGCAGTCTTGCGTGAAATATCTAAGGCTGATACTTGGCTTTTATGTTGTACAAGGACCTCTACGATGCGTTTATGTCCTTTTCGAGAAGCCAAATGAAGTGCTGTTTGTCCAAATATATTTGCAGCATTGACACCACTGCCGTGCTGTATCAACTCCTTCAAAATGTCTTTGTATCCGTTCTCTCCACTCTCTGTAGCCAAGTGAAGAGGGGTTTGCTTAAACACATTTACTGCACCAACAATGCTTCCAAGTTCTAGAAGTAATTTCACAACGTTTTTGCGCCCAGTCTGAGCAGCCAAATGGAGAGGTGTCTGGCCAAAGAGATCTCCGTCCTGGATATCACCTCCATGCATTATCAAGGAGTGTACAATGGTATCCTGTCCACTCTCTGCAGCCAAGTGAAGCGCAGTTTTCTGGGAGTTATCTCGAGCACTTAAATCACTCCCATGTCGAATTAAGAGTTCCACCAATCTCTCAATTCCTTTAACCGAAGCTAAATGAAGGGGAGTCCGTCCAAAGTTGTCTCTAGCCTTCAAAGCACTGCCACGTTGAGTTAATATTAACATTTTAAGCATTTGTTCTTGTCCTTGTATTGCAGCCAGATGAGCTGGAGTACGTCCAAACACATCTCCTCGTTGGGAATCGCTTCCACGTTGTAATAGCATTGCTGCAATTTGTTGGTGACCATTCCATACGGCCAAGTGAAGGGGTGTCTGCTGTTGGTAACTCTTAGCGTTGACGTTATCTCCTAGTTTGGTCAAAACATCTGCGATATCTCTGAAGCCGAATTTTGCTGCTACATGAAGAGGAGTTTCCATGCGGGAATTTGGAGTATCCACATTCAGCCCACACTTCAGTAGAAGTTTGGAGAACTGAGTGTATCCATTACCAACGGCCCAATGCAGAATTTGATTCTCTATTAGTAAACAAACAAGGTAACAATTTAGCGCATGTTAAACTTGTATCTCAGAAAGAGAAAATTTCCCTTAACCTCGATTGTATCCAAGTTACTGACTAAGTACGCACAGTGTAAGGGTATTTTGACACGTTGCTATAGTTAAAGTACCTTGCAAATTCATGAGAATAGTCGTACCATGCTCAACAAAAATTGGAAATGTCTTTGATAAAAACGTAGCTGTGATTTAATATGGGATAGTAACAATGATTCATCGAGAGAAGATTGTTGAAAATGTTTCAGAGAATCGCCCCTCGTATTCTTGAAGCATGTTTGATTCACGAAGCCGAGCCCTACAATCTGAAAGTAATTTAACATTTTAAGTTTTCCAAACTTGAAGTTTGGAAACACACGTACCTCCAAGCTTGATTCCTGCTAATACTGTCACCAAAGCAGCGGTTAACAGAATATAACTCACACGAGAGGCTGTCTCAAACTTTATCCAGTGGCCGCGTTGTCGATGTTCTGTTACGAAAAAAGTGTTTGTATTTACCGTTAGTATTAGGACAAAAACAGTTAAAACGGACAAACACCCTTGTGATATTCACCATTCCTCTGTCAACAAAGAATCGTGATACGTTATGTAGGTTAAACAATAGGGTTTAAATCAACAAAACTCCCAGAAGTATTTCAAGCGGATGAACAACCCTACGATAAATCACAACTCATCATTTGAAATTATCTCAAACGATACAATTCTCATAAGCATTATTTTCATTGTCACTTCCACATCACAATCATTGTCGATACCATTGTCATCATCATTATCATCTTGTCCTTGTCACTGTTAGTGTAGTTATTGTCGTTATCGTCATAATTGTAATTCACTTATTCACTTTACACATCTTGTTAAGAAATAAGATGAAGTGGAAATCTTACTTTTTGACTTAGTCGTTTTCTCCTGACGCGAGGATTCTGCTGCATATTTTTGCCTTGAACCACCGTCATCTCTCCTTTTAGTTCCCTTATTCTGGCTCACTGATCCCATTCTTTCAGCTTGGAGGGAACACACATCTTGCTGCTCTGCAGATAAATCATCTTCTCTTCTGGACAGCCATTGAAAGAAGCTACGCAGTAGAGGTAGCCTTTTGTAAGCTGGGAAGTTCACAACAGAAGACTCCTCACAGATGCTAGGACTCTCAATGTCGTCCTGACAGTTACCAAACACGGCTTCATCTTCAAAAGATTCTTCGGTAGCGGCATTTTCTTCAGAAAATCGTGACGAATTTTTGGGAAATTCCTCTCGGGATATGTAAAGCTCGGTCGTTTTCTCCTGACGTAAGGATTCTGTTGCATATTTATGCTCTGAATCGCTGTCATCTCTCCTTTCAGTTCCCTTCTTTTGGCTCACTGATCCCATTTCTTCAGCTTGGAGGAAACAAGTCTCTTGATGCCTTGAAAATAAAGCGGGTCTACCGATGGGCAATGAAAAGAAGCTACTCCTTTGACGCAACTTTATTTTAGCTGGGAAGTTCACAACGGAGGACTCCTCACAGATGCTAGGACTCTCAATGTTGTCCTTACCATTACCCAATTGGGTTTCATCCTCAAAAGATTCCTCAGTAGCTTCATTTTCTTCCGAAAATCCTAAGGAAATCCTGAGATGTTCCTCTTGGGGATAGCGAAGCAATGACGCACAATTATCAATACCAGTTTCAATTGTTGCATTCTCACAGTCTTCATCTTTTGTGCAAGCCCCTGTGAACATAATAAAGTGTATTGTGACTGAGTGTGGTACCACCAAAATAAGTATTCACAACAGCCAATCAGAAGAAAGGAAATATCACATGGAGCCAATAAGAGCTTACAATACAAATAAGCACACTGCTTTGAGTGAAAGAAATTGCCAGTGGCCATGTTGTGATTGGTTTTTAAGTTTTGCATCTGATTGGCTAAGAGGGTGGATTGAGCTTTCTGGACCAGTCACAGAGCAAACTCACACCATAAGCAAAATGAGCAACATCCATGTTATGTTGGTACATTATCCAGCAAAAAAGTAATGGGCAATGACTCCCTTATCAGTCAAAAGGAGTCTTATGGAAGTACACCTGCAACACCAAATTCTAATGAAAGATTTACACAGAAAAGTGTACAGTCCTTATGAAACAGACAAAAGAGTTTTACAAGCAGATTTTAGCGGTTAAAGGGTTACAAAAGGAATTCAGTGGAAGTATTGTATCCAGTAACAGAAAGTTCACTTACCATTCTCTTCTTCTAAATCAGACCAGTCACCAATAAGTTCAAGGGAACCACAAGAAGAAGTTTCAGCATCAGCAAAGTAGTCACTTTGGTTATCATCATCCTTAGGTTGCATTCTTGATGATTCTCGTTCATCATTAGAAACTGTTGTAAAAATTAAGGAATAAATACATTTTACATATATTTCAACAATATTAATACTGATTAGTTTGTCACTTTTTCAAAGAATGGAGGAATGTAAGGAACGACAGGGTAAAAAATGAGTGTATCAAGACAAATATAACCCCAAGCCTTCAAATTTGCAATCTGACACCATTCCACTGACTTGCCGAGAACTTGCAGTGAGTTAAGTGTGTAGGCCATTAAAGTCCTGCACTCTATTGGGATAATCATGTGCCTGAATAAATAGTTACAACTTCCTATTGGCAAACTCAGCCTTCAAGAATAAGATACTCACCAGTCTGTTTCTGAATATTGTCAACTGCTTGGACTAACTCTAACCAGTCACTTGTACCCAAAGCAACACTATTACTGTCATGTTCTTTTGACAATCTGAAAATAAAAATCAAAAATACTTTTGTAAGTCAAAGCATACAGTCATGTCACATTAATCAAATCATGTGACTACATTGCCAGACAAACAACAAGATGTGATCATCATTATTACTTTAAATTACCTCTTGTTTACATCTTGTAAGAACTCTGCCAAATCGTCATGGCCATTGGCTCTTGCAACATCCTCTGGCAGAGGCGTTCGATCCTTGTAACTGTCGAAGACAATTTTTCCAGCAGAGGTACTGAAGATCATTTGTAAAAACTGTTGAGCATCTTCCTGAGCAGCAGTATAAACAAGTAGCTGAAGGACTTTAAGAGACTGCCCCTGTTTAGCATCAGGCAATGGGCCTGTGTGAAAGAAAAAAGTGAATAACACATAATTTTATTTTAAAATTTGATTTAGATAAATTGTAACTATTTCACTGTGTACAGCAAGTCTCCAAATGGCCTAGGATCAGTCTTTTCCAAGTCCATGATATCAAGATGAAGATCAAAGAGGAACAGACTCTTACCCTCTATTACTTACTTTGGTCTAAATGACTGTGAATATATGAAATTCATTTAAGTGAACTGCGGATTAATAAATGAATATGAAAGCAATTTTTGCAGAAATGAACACCACTTGAACAGTAGTGAAAATAAGGCCTGACAAAAATTCAGGCCAATACAGGATTTACAACCATGACCCTTGCAATGCCACTGTACCCGTATCACCAAGGCCTAAATACTTTTCCAGGCCCTATTTTCACTAGTGATCAAATAGTGTTCATTGCTGCTAAGACTGCTTTTAAATTCACTTCTTAATCCACAGTTCACTAACATGATTTTCATATTCACATACCTTGGTCTGGTAAACCAAACAGACCCAGAGTCTGTGCAACATCACTATTGCTTCCAATGATTCCATGTGCCTGGGACCACATGGTTAGGAATAATGATAGTTGAGCAGGGTCCTTAATGAGCTGTTTTAAGGTCTCCCGCATCTCATCCACATACATAAAGTATGTAATTCCCAGCTTTCGACCAGCCTCAGTGTAGACTGTAATAAGAACAGGTCCAGCTTCTTGGGCAGCTGAAATGGAATAAAAACTTTTTTTTTTCCAAGCCAGACCCTTACTTTATTTATAGAGTAACAGAATGATGAAAATGCATACAGATTGACAGATGGACAAACTGACCAGATGAAAGAATAACAGGGGTAAGTTTCTAAAGAAACTGTGGTCCAGCATCGGTAGGAGAGTATAACAGAGTAATTTAGTGTTATTAACTGAATTGACAATGTATACTGGGCACTGTAAATAGTTTAAAGGCTGACATTTCAAGCATTAGACCTTCATCACACTGACAATTTATGTTATCAACTCAGTTGATAACACTAAATTGACCAGATGAAAGACAGACAGACAGACAGATAATTGGAGGGATGTGGGTTCCTTATAGCAAGCTACAGCTGTCATCTACAGGAGTTTAAACCAACATCCTACAAATTAAAGAACTATTCATTGACAAACAATGAACTAACCTGGAACAAACCCAGAGAAGGTGTAGGGGTTGGTCTTCTCCAAAAAGACATCACCTACTCCATCAAAGTGTGCCACACCTCTTGTGTCACTTTCAAGCAGTGCCTCTGTCAACATTATATGGAACTGAATTCCACCCTGAAAGCAAGACATGTATCAATAATGAGGAGAGATGGTAAATTTTCAGCTTTGTAAAGAATGGAGAAAACAGAACTTTTCATCTTTTATCATAGAAATGATTATTTCTTGAACATGGTTTTTTTTTTTTTTTTTTTTTTTTTTTGAATCTTTATTAAGTCATAAGATAAATAATCACATATCCTATGTTACAACATTAAAAGAAGGTATATATATAAATTACAGAGAAAATCAAGATAAAAATTATAAGACTAGATTATGTTTAAAAATTAAGCGATTAACAAATGTGTTTTTGAACCTATCAGTGTTTATTTTAGGATGGTGACTTGTCTCTTTCCTCAGATTGTACTTGGTTAATTTCTTTTTTGGCATTATAGCTCTTAAAGGGTGTATTGTATTATTAAAAACATTCTTGAAGATACGCGTGTCCTGTTGAACTAACAATTCATAAACATTAATGTGATCGGATGTATACTTGCGCTTATAACATCGATCTAAGAAACATTGGATTGTTGTTAATTCGGAATTTACAGCGCCAAATACGGACAGCCCGTATAATATATTTGGTAGAACCAGATTTAGAAACAGATGGTCTATTTCGGCCTGGTTATTGGAGATAATCTCCACTCTTCTAACAATACTATCACACAATGCATCAGTCCAGTATTATTTCATATCCCATCCAGAGAAGAGTAGAAATACCTTTAATCTCTACATGCTAAAGATTCAATGGGAACATGCTCAGACAGAGGAGACTTGGCCCATATATAATGTTAATTTTATCCTGTTTTGAACCTTCGACCTGAATTTATTAATATAAGTTTAAAAGCCAGACACCTTTCTCCTTTATTCTCCCTTGAGTTAAAATGCATGAAAGCTTAACACACATATCAGCCAAATCAACAATCTTTGAAACATATCAAACCTCGCTACCAGTGCAAAGAACAAAGTACTGAGTAGGAAGTAACACATTGACAGAAAAAGAGAATCTACAGTTCACTATAACAACTCTAACTTTGAAATAGAAAACATTTTTCCAGACCAAAATGTATCAATCAAAGCTCTTTAAATGTTTCATCCTCGTGCTTGATTAAATTTGCAGATCACCAGGACAATTTCTAAAATTAATAATATTACCTTCACAGAGCCTGATGATGGGGAAATATCTTGAACCACTGCAATAGATTAGAAGGAAAATTTGTAGAAGGAAATAAAAGAAATCTACTTTTTATTTTTTTCAAAATAATAAATAATAAACCATATAAAAAATATACCTCCAGGTTGGTCCACATCATTATCTGAGTTGGTACAGATTTCCTCCAGTGCTGAGTCTAAATCTTCAGCAGAAATGCCAAATATCTGTTAAGACAAGGATTATTTAACAGTTATTGTAGTAAACTTTCAAACCTTTCATTATAAATATCAAGACATTCTCAACCAGATGGTGATGAGAAGAACCACAATGTCAACTAGGGGTTACTTTTGGATTAAAAAAAAAATTCCCAGAGCTAAAAATATCACAAATATGAAAAACAAAGTACAGAGAATCGAAATTTGGATCTTTGGGTTTGAAATGATTCATGACAAATAATTGATAAACCATGTGTACTTTTTTTAAACTGATAAGAAAAAAATTTATTTTCTTGTAGTAACTTTTTTCTAAAACAATTTCTACCGAGTGCCTGTCTCTCAGACTTGATCACTGTAATAAACATTCCAATCTCACATGCATAATAAACATGCACAGCATGTGTGTGATGGGGGGAGGGAGGGAGAGGTGGGAGTTTGTCCCATTTTCATTGTAATTGTAATTTCATGAACATATCAATTACAGCTGTTGTGATTTTTATTTACCTGAGATGGAGTTTCGATATTTGTTAGATCAACAGGATCCTCTCTCTTGATGTTGTCCTGGAGTGCTGTACCAGTTGCATTCATGTTGAGCAAATCTAAGGAAATATCAGTCAATAAATATTAATACTGACAATACCATGATGTCATTCATGTAACTGCAAAGTGCAATATCACCTGACCTTTTACATCTAGCAACAACATCTGTTGCTGCTCTTAGCTTCCTTAAGGCTAAATTCTACAAGTTTAGAAACATGACCCTCTATTTGTTAAATAAATATTTTAAACTCTTTAACCCATACATGTAAGAGTGACAAATATCTAATATCTCCTTAAAATATCACCACAGAGTCAAATTAAAACATTAAGGTCACAAGAACAAATGAAATGATTACGAACTGTGAATGCTCATGATTGTTGAGAAAATTCTCCTTGTCAGCATCTTAGAAAATTTATGGAAATAGTATGGAGAATATACACACTGATGGAAGAGTGTAAAGGGTTATTATAAATGAATGATCAAATGATAAAACCCTGATCAAACAATTTTCCAAAACAGGCCCAAAATATAAAGTCACTATTACCATCAGAGACATCCATGGCTTCCTCAAAACCTGTGTCGCTTGTGTCAGGAGACCCGCCTACATCAGGTGACGCTTGCAGTTTCTCATCAGCCTTAATTAATGGTGTTTGAAAAAAAAGGGGCATTAAATTAAAGGCAAAAAGTGTTTGAACTGATGCCAAAAAACAAACAAAAAAACAAAAGCCATAGACCCAAAGGCAAACTCTTGTTTCTCCCTTTTTTACATTTTCCAAGAACTGTCTGAATAATGAAGTAGGTGGTTGTGCAAAAATCTTGCCCAAAGCACATTAATTAAAACAAACAAACTGCTCCATGTCTGTCTAAGGCAGTAAGATAAATAATAGTTGTGATCATTTATAGACACAGGAATACTCTTCGAATAATATCCTTTATCTAAAAACAGAGCACAAGTTTTGAAAATACTAGGTGGCATACACCCGCCCTAAATATACTAATATAGAGTTCTACTGGGGTTTGTATCATATACCTCTGAAGATGTGCTGCTTGTCTCGTGATCACTGTCATCTGAAAGTTCCACTTTAGATCCAAAGAGTGACTGAAACACTTTAGGTGGCATCTGGAACTGTCTCTCTATGACTTCATCCTTGTCATTGATCTTTTTGCTTTCTTTGTACTCTTTTGCTCCATCTTTTTTGTAAATGTTGAGCAAGGCTGCCCTCAGACCATTGCTAGCCTTCCTCCTGTTAATGTTCTTGCTTTTAAACTGAGGATTTTTCTTGGATTTGTAGATGGCATAGCGCTCCAAGGTACTGGACCAGTTTAGGACATAGCGCCCCTTTTTATTCACAAATTTGGCATCTTTTCCTTCGCGAATCAAATCTCCGATGAAACCATACACACCATGGCCACTTGAATCCTCGTTTCCTAAAAAATATGTGTATTAAATATTTTTGTGAGAAAGAATCATATAAACATGAAGTTAAGTTGATATGTAAGTACCTAATATGTAGTTTAATTTTCTTGTTAGTGTCAGACTGTTCCCAGCTTCACAAGTAAACTCTCCCCAAGGATTACCCAAATTCCCTGTTTTAAAAAGGTTTTGGGCATTTGAAACCCTCAACAAACATTTGCAGAAAAAATTCATATGATCCAGAACAATTTACGCTACAAATCTCGTGAAGGCCAGCTCTCACTAACAGCTGTATTGTCTAAACATAAGGAAATCTAGGAATCTGCCCAAGAATCCTTCTTAGAGGTAAAATAGACCTGTCATAAAATTAATAAGGAAGAAAAAGGACAAACTGTCTGAAAAATTGCCTTTTAACTCGAACTGTTTATGAGTGAGCACAAGTAATGATCAGATTCGCACGAGTTACAAATTGGCTACCAAAGCACTCGGCCGTCACTCGTTCACTTCCAGCTCAGCAAATGGTAAGCAACATACAGCCCAAAGCTTCCTCATTCGACAAATTAAAAGGACTCATAGGAAATTGCATCATTTTGGCAATTCCTCGTGAAATCTTTAGTTAGCTTATTTTTACGCTGAGGTAGCACAATTCGAACCAGTTTGGGAAAAGTTCAGTGTCGACAGAAGAAAAAAGCGCATGAAAATTACTCACCCACTCTGGCTTCAGCCCCACGCTTAGGCATACCAGATCAGGTTTTAAGCTAGACAAATGGCCAAAAGTTTTCATCAAAATCAAAAGAATTCCGCGCTGGACCATCGATCAACCACTCTGAAGTACTAAAAGCTTTTAGATGAAATTATTCTTTCGATCTCTTATTTAAATCAAACATGGTGTCCAAGGTATTTTCTCGGGTCGTGATTGGTTGATATTACACAAACTGTCTTCTGATTGGTCGTTCGCTTTTTGTACCCCTCCAAAACGGAAGTACTTTTTCTCCAAGCGAGAATAAATTTGGTAACATTACATCATGGCCTCTTAGAAGCAGAGAAGTAAAAAATTGTTGCAGCTTTCGAATGGTTCCCTTCATCGAAAGCACGCGCTATTACACCGTTGAATGCTCACTACTTCAGGAGTGAAGTCCCTTTTATAAGATAAATGACTTGAAATAGTGAAAGTTCTAATCGAAAATTATTTTGGACCGGTACAAGCCGGAAATAAGGATGAAAGCCTTCTAAAAAGACCACTAGTAAGAGGAATTTTTGATTGGAACCAGGGTTTCGGGAATCCCGGAACATAATGTAGATTATATGCAAAACGGGCAAATTCACAAGAGAAGTTTCGTGGCATTGCATTGTTTATTCAGAGTATCTGCGAATAACTGTGCCCTATTATTCAACTGCACAGAGTAGAGTAAAAATAACGCGCGAGTAGAGTACAAATATCCTACGATATTGTACGGTTTTTTGGACAGTTGATTATTTTGTACTGTAAAAAAAAAAACTTGTTTATTAACCAGTCGGCTGCGCGCGCTATCCTTTTCTACCTACTTTGCTTTCCCGCCTTATGAGAAATGGGCAGAAAGACTTAGCAGAAAAAAAGCAGTTTGATAATAAATAACTTATTAGACGTTTTCGGGAGCTCCTGACGTTTTGGTTTGTAGTATTACTGAGTTCACTCGTTGTTTGTATTTTGACTAGCCTTCCGCGCTCGTCAAAATTCGGCGCAACTCGTAAAGATACTCAGCGATACTACACACCAAAACGTCAAATAAACTTGAAATAGTTTAATTTCTTTTGAGTGAAAGTTGTAATCGAAAATTATTTTGGACCGGTACAAGTCGAAAATAAGGATAGAAGCCTTCTAGAAAGACAACCAGTGAGAGGAATTTTTGATTGGAACCAGGGTTTCGGGAATCCCGGAACACAGTGTGGATTATACGCAAAACGGGCAAATTCACATGAGAAGTTTCGTGGCATTGCACTGTTTATCCAGAGTACCTGTGAATAACGGCGCCCTATTATCCAACTGCACAAAGTAGAGTAAGAATAACGCATAAGTAGAGTACAAAGAAAAAAAGCAGTCGGATAATAAATAACTTATTGTACGTTTCAGGAGCTCCTGACGTTTAGGTGTGCAGTATCACCCAGTATTTTTACTCGTTGTTTGTATTTTGACTCGCCTTACGGGCTCTTCAAAATTCGGCTCAACTCGTAAAGATACTCAGCGATACTACACACCAAAACGTCTCATAAACTTGAAATAGTTTAATTTCTTCTGAGTGAAAGTTCTGATCGAAAATTATTTTGGACCGGTACAAGCAGGAAATAAGGATGAAATTCTTCTAGAAAGACCACCAGTGAGAGGAATTTTTGTATGGAACCAGAGTTTTGGGAATCCCGGAACATAATGTGGATTATATGCAAAACGGGCAGATTCACATGATGAGAAGTTTACATTTCGTGGCGTAGTATTTTTATACAGAGTACCTGCGAATAACTGTGCCCTATTATCCAATTATCCAACTGCACAAAGTAGAGTAAAATAACGCGCGAGTAGAGTACAAATATCCTACGATATTGTACGGTTGTTTGGACAATTGATTATTTTGTACTTTAAAAAAACCTGTTTATTAACCAATCGGCTGTGCATGCTACGCTTTTCTATCTGCTTTGCTTTTCCCGCCTTATGAGAAATGAGCAGAAAGATGACTGGAAATGTGTGAAAATCATATATCTGCACTGCGGTGAGTAAATAAAATGTAAGCGATCCTCGCAGCTATGAACACTACTGAAGTAGTAGCTGAAATGAGACCTGAAAAAAATTCGCAGAGAAAAAAGCAGTTGGATAATAAATAACTTATAAGACGTTTGGGCGTGTAGTATCACTGAGCATTTTAACTCGTTTGTATTTTGACTTGCCTTACGGACTCGTCAAAATTCGGTGAAACTCGTAAAGATACTCAGTGATACTACACACCAAAACGTCTGGTAAGAAGCTGTTGGCCAGAGCTTGTCAGTATCGCGAGTTGAGCGATGAAGTCCTTCTTGCTTCTGGCGGCTTGGTTCCACCAGCCCCCATGGTTACTCTAAGCTAATTTTGTCTGTTTAACCCTTTAACCCCTAGGAGTGATTTGCATCTAATTTCTCCTTACCATATCAGCCCTGAATCAAACATTAAGGTCAGGAGAATAAAGGAGCTGATCACCGACTAAAGAAGCTCTTGATTGTTAGACAAATTCTCCAAGTCGGCATCTTAGGATATGTTTGGAGAAGATGCGTACTGATGTTAGAGTGTACAGGGTTGAGAAAATTTATAGTTGGGGCATGAAAGGGGAATATTAAGGTTGTCGTCGCTATTGCTGTTGTTTTGTCAAGTTCCAGTGCACAGTCTGGGGGGAGGGGGGGAGGGGAAACTAAATGACCCATAGTGAAAAAGGTAAAAAACGTTCTCTGGTTATATTTTAAATGTTCGTTCTCGGGTTAAATGACCCATGTCTGCGAGGCGTACAAAACACGGTGGGGGAGGAAGAATTTTTTAGAGAGGGGTCACACTTTGCCAACCTAGACATCACACCAAGAAATTTACAAATGGGAACCGTAGTAAAAGAAAAAAAAAAAAAGAGGCTGGCTAAAAAATGAAATTTTTTCCCAGGGGTGATCGATAATTATGCTATAGCCTATGTGTAGCCGTACCCTCCCTCCGCCAAGGCGAAATGGAGGCGAGTGGGGGAGGGTACGGCTACACGTAGGCTACATATGCTGCCGAAATGTGATGTGGTGTGGTGGTCGGATGAAAGCAGGCAGCGCGAAAAACTCTCCAAAAAAGGAGAGACTATGTGCGCTGTTATTAGTCAACAGATATTGGATCAATATCAGTATCTGGGCAACTGCCCACCTACCCCTCCCCTAACTCAATAACAGTCAATTGACAACAAGTTGAGGTTAATGTTGGGTTATTTTTAATAGAGAGTAAGTACTGAACTAGGCTTGTCGCGCTTTAGATTCGCGCATATTTTTGAGAAGTATATTAAAACCGCATTGGAGTAGGATCAATTTTTTTTAACTGAATTTTATTTGACTCGCGTGACGGTTTTCGCCGAAAAAGGACTGCTGGTAGTCTATTGTTACCCTATCTACTAAAACAAACGGAAGCATGCTGAAAAACAATTCGTGCTGTTCACAGAAAAATAACTTTAATATTTCACTTGATATATAAATATTTTCCAAAATATGCTCATATCGTCATATCGTATAATTCCTGAATAACGCTTCTACTTGCCGTCAATTATTTACAAATGTAAAAGAGAGTGCCAAGATAAGACACCAAATAGAAGTAGATGCAGACAACCAATCGATTTTCCCCCAGTTATGTCAAGTTAAAGGAAAGACGAAATGGTGTTGTTGACTAGATGATTGTCTATCAACCACTTCCACATCAGTTGGGAGCCTGTGATACAAGAGAGTTCAACAAAAAGCTAAATAATTCTCCTGTGAAAGACGTCAAGTAACTTTGAGTTTGTCCAAGTATCCAGAAAAAATTTAAAGGAGAAGTTTAGGAATAAAGGCCATTCTAGCACCCATTTGGGTGCAAAGGCAAAGGGCTGACCAACAAAATGTCCTCTGATCCTCTGTTCCCACTGTTACTCTGGTCCTCTGTCAGTACTGTTCCACTGTTCCCACTGTTCCTCTGGTCTCACAGCCTCCCCACTGTTCCTCTGGTCGTACAGCACTGTTCCACTGTCCCCACTGTTCCTCTGGTCCTCTGTCAGTACTGTTCCACTGTCCCCACTGTTCCTCTGGTCTTACAGTACTGATTTCAGCTTGTCTGTTAACTTCGTCCCGTCTTGTCTGTGGACGGAGGCTGATCAACATTCAAGCTTTCGCCAACAGATAGCGCGTCTTGCTGCGGATCATCTGGCCCTATCTCCGGTCTGTCACATGTGTCACCAGGCTCCTGTTCGTCTACGCGGCACAAAGTTAAATAGAAATTAAAACACAAAGTTTCGTTTAGTTTTTTTTAATGCACAGGTGGACTAAATTCGAGCAATGAGCCTCGATCCCTAAATGTGACTGTTACACACCAACAGACGACGTGAAAGGATTTGTATGAGATGAAAGGTAATAACCTTAACCCAAAAATATGGATGCATATTAGTACTTAATTTGCCTTCCCCATTAGTGAAAACTTAAACCCAAGTGAAATCAGTTTGGAAAATTCACAAGAAACAAAAGGATGCCTTGATTTCATCCAATTCTTGTTCATATGTTTAGGTCAAAGATGCGACCTTTCACTCTCAGGCAAGGCCTTTTAATTCGCCTGATAGTAAAATCAGTTAATCAGTTATATCTCTGCGGAGTTTGTACTTTCTTATATTCGAATCAAGCACCTTCCATTGTCACAACGATCGCTTTCATAGAATAACGAAAACAGCGGCGACAAACGGAAATCGAAATAAGTTTCGAAGAACGATGTTAGAAATATAATAAGAATTACCGTTAGATACGAAAAAAAACCTTTAAAAGAGAGAGAGGAATCTCTTAAAGAGGTGAAAACAATTCGTTATTGGCAAAACCAATAAGATTCCAGCTTTAATTACAGAAACGAATTTTGCGCACGGCAAAAATTAACAACTTTCAGACAACGAAAGCTGACTCCGCAGCAATTTTCAACGAGGGTTAAGTAACGCTTACTTGTTGTCCCACATATTATATTGGTCATTAGTTTTCCTCGAAACCCGCGTTTTGATTCAAGCTTTCATAGGTAAATTGCATCAAAATCCGTTATAATTACTCAAATCAAACCGGTAGCGAAAGGCTTCAGTTACATGGATGGATAAACAAACTCG